TTTAAAATACCAATTCAACAATATTTAGAAGCTAAACTCTGTTTTTTTTGTTAGATGAATGTTTCATAGTATCAGAGAAGACTGGATATATGTATATAATTTTAGAGGTTTCTTAAATTTAATTTAATGATATTTATAAAATAAATTAAATGAAATTCTCATTGATTTCTAAAGAAAACCTTTTAGTTTATGTTGATGAAAAATGAAAAGCATTATTGAATAATTGATGAATTATAATTTTGTAATCTAGACAATATACACATACATATATGTGTACATTATAATAAATATCATTGATTTCTAGCTGTTTTTATATTTAGTTTGTTTCAAAAGATTTCTTATCCTATTAATCTATTTTTAATAGGGGGTTGATCTCATTTGTCAGTGGTGAAAAATTAAATTATTTTTTAACATTGTCTTTTATGGATATGTATGATTTACTTTTGAATTATTTAATTTAAATTTTGGGTAATTTCTTAATAAATTAATTAAACATTTAAAAATGGAATAAATTCAACAATAAGTCCATATATATATATAGCATAAGTAGTGAAAATGAAAAGTGCAACTATAAATACATAATTAACTAAATATTAGAAATTCATTGTTAATAGATTTTTTGTGATAATAATCAAATTCACTTTTACAATAAGTTTTCTAAAAAGTAGCTTCCTTTTGATTTGAATAAAGGTTTTAAGTCCTTCCCTTAATGATTTATAAATTCTCCTTATAAGATACATGTTCCTTTTGCTTCAAATAATATTTCTTGTGATATAACAAGAATTGAATAATTTGAGACTAAGTAATAAATATAAAATATATACCTGATAGAGGATTGGTTTATAATAACGTGGTTTTAAATTATACAAGTATATTTTTGTAATTTTTATCAGAGGATTTAATTTCTTATGCTGCCTTAACATCCCATAGACGGATAGAGTTATCATCACTTCCAGAAGCTAATGTGGTTTCACATGGAGATAAACAGACTGAAAAGACATAATTTGTATGACCATCCAATTTAGCTTTTTATTATCCTGTTTTAAGATCCCATAGACGGATAGAGTTATCATCACTTCCAGAAGCTAATGTGGTTTCACATGGAGATAAACAGACTGAAAAGACATAATTTGTATGACCATCCAATTTAGCTTTTTATTATCCTGTTTTAAGATCTCATAGACGAATAGAGATATCATCACTTCCAGAAGCTAATATAGTTCTATCTGGAGAGAAACAAACTGACCTAACATAATCACTATGACCATCCAATTTTGTTGTTTATTATCCTGTTTTGACATCCCATAGACGGATAGACTTATCATAACCACAAGATGCTAATGTATTTCCATCGGGAGAGAAACAGACTTAGTAGACAGTATTAGTATGACCATCCAATTTGGCTTTTTATTATCCTGTTTTGACATCCCAAAGACGGATAGACTTATCACTACTACCATAAGCTAATATTTTTCCATCAGGAGAGAAACAGACAGAGTTGACTTAATAATAATGACCATCCAATATTCTTGTTTATTATCCTGTTTTGACATCCCATAGACGGATACCCTAATCATCACCAGACGCTAATGTATTTCCATCAGGAGAGAAACAGATTGAGTTGACTGAATATTAATAACTATCTAATTAGGCTTTTTATTATCCTGTTTCTACATCCCATAGACGGATAGACTTATCAGAACTTCCAGAAGCTAATATATTTCCATCAGGAGAGAAACAGACTGAGTAGACAGTATTAGTATGACCATCCAATTTGGCTTTTTATTATCCTGTTTTGACATCCCAAAGACGAATAGACTTATCACTGCTACCAGAGGCTAATATTTTTCCATCAGGAGAAAAACAGACTGATAATACAGTGCTTGTATGACCATCTAATTAGGCTTTTTATTATCCTGTTTTGATATCCCATAGACGGATAGAGTTGTCATCACTTCCAGATGCTAATGTATTATCATCAGGAGAAAAACAGACTGATAAAACAGTGCTTGTATGACCATCTAATTAGGCATTTTATTATCCTGTTTTGACATCCCATAGACGGATAGAGTTATCTTTACTACCAGATGCTAATGTATTTCCATCAGAAGAAAAACAAATAAAGTTGATACAATTACTATGACCATCTAATTTGGCTTTTTATTTTCGTGTTTTGACATCCCATAGACGAATAGACTTATCACTACTACCAGAAGCTAATATTTTTCCATCAGGAGAGAAACAGACAGAGTTGACAGTTTCAATATGACCAACCAATTTGGCAATTTTTTTCTTTGTCTTAACATTCCATAAACTGATAGCCTAATCATCACCAGACGCTAATGTATTTCCATCAGGAGAGAAACATATTGAGTTGACTTTATATTAATGACCATCTAATTTAGCTATTTATTATTCTGTTTTGATATCCCATAAACGGATAGACTTATCACTACTACAAGAAGCTAATATATTTCCATCAGGAGAGAAACAGACAGAGTTGACAGTGCTAGTATGACCATCTAATTGGGCTTTTTATTATCCTGTTTTGAAATCCCATAGACGGATGGAGTTATCTCTACTACCAGATGCTAATGTATTTCCATTAGAAGAAAAACAAATCTAGTTGACTGAACTGGTATGACCATATAAATTATTTAATTCAAGTATTCTTAAGTTGTTCCATTTACAATTCATTAATTATGCTCCATTCAAATTCATTTAACTTATATTAACATTATTAAATTAGGATCCACTTAAATTACACTGAACAAAATTAGCTCCTACTAAAGAAGTATTTTAGATTTTAATATTTTCAAAATTTTTGTTTCGAAGGTTAGCCTTCATCTAAACTAATAAATGTAAAGAATTAGACCCTAATTATATGATACTGTCATCTATGGATGTGAGGTGAACTAAAAATTACAAAAATTTTATCATCTATGTATCATTCTTTATGCTATTAATTAGGCTTTATTTAGGTTCTTAATTTTCTTCACTTGCATAGTCTTTTTTATTGAATTCATGATCTTTTAATTTTTTTAAGACATTTGTAACTTATTTCATGTCATTTCGAACAACAGACAATTACTATTCTGTATTGGCTTTAGTTAAATCCTCTCCTAATTGTAAGATTTATTACTCTAATTTTCTTTGATTCTCATTATTTGAAAGATATCCAATGCAATCTTAAACTTTTTCCTTTCTTAATATTTCTAATATGACACCAAATATTTGTTCATCTACATCTTTAATTTAATAAAAGATGTCTGCTAGAGTTTCCTTCTCTTATAAAGGGCCCTGCATTTTATTTTTTATTTTTAATATTGAATTTATACTACTTTAATTTTAAGTTATATATTGTTAATTGAAAATCTGTCTAAAGAGATATTCCGCATAATATATTTTTAATCCCTAAAAACATTTGTCATATTATTATCTTTGATTATACTTATTGAATTTTTCTCTCAAAAATATAATTACTAAAAAGAAATCATATTTAAAAGTTTTACAAAGGTTGATTGGTATACTGGAGCAGGATATGTATCATCTACACTGTTAATATACTGCAAAGTAATTACTTGTGATAGAAAAGAGAATTGTGGATGAAATTCAATGTGTGTATCTAATACTAGTTGTGGATCATTATCCTATTTTAAATCAAAGCATAAAAATAAATGAGAGAAAATGGAAATGGAATCAAGATTGCAAAGTAGGAACAAGAAGTTGTAAATTCTATAAAGGAGTTTGTTATTCAAAAGTTGCACTTGCCAGTTATACAATTCCTTCTACAATAACATATGCTGGTGAAAATAATACCTATTTATGCTGACACATTTGATGAATATTGTTCTTAAAACCCATTTGCTAATAGTAATACAAAAAGTTGACTGCTGGAAATATGATTGTTGGTAATATTTTATTGAAAATATTTAAGATTATGATACTGGGGCACTTGCTTGTGAGTATTTTTCAGGTAGAGCTGTTTTTTTATAATCTAGATGAAAGTATCGATTCATGCACAGCAATAATTGCTGAAATCAATAATTTATGCAAATTGTGATTTAAGAACAATAATAGATTTCAAAAAAAAAACTTTCAATCCTACTTGTTGCGTATCTAGGGATATTTGATTCAATAGCAACCAATTGCTAAACTAGTCCTGTTCCAGATTCAATTAATGATTCTTATAAAGCAATTATAAGAATTTTGTAATTTCCCAAAGGGCATGTTCAGATTATGGCAGTCTCTCAGCTGGAACTTTATTAATCAAATGTTAAACAAGAGTTAATCAGAAAGGAAAAAGATTTTCATGGACAAGTATTACTTGCAGTAAAGTTGCTCAAGCCACATTTTTTGGATATGCTGGTCTTTTTTGGTACTGAACTATAAACAATGCTAAACTAAAATTGATCATGTTGAAATTACATGTTCATGGAAAGCAAGTACTTTTG